TCTTGTCTTTGCTGGTGTTGTTCCAGCAGAACTGAAGGTAGGGATGCAAGATGTCGATGGGGTCTACCTGAACCTCAGTAAAGCCTTTGACACCATCCCCCCCAATAGTGGAGAAGCTGGCTGCCCATGGTTTGGATGGGCGGATGCTCTGCTGGGCGAAATGCTGGCTGAATGGCTGGGCCCAAAGAGTTATGGTCAATGGAGTTAAATCCAGTTGGCAGCCAGTCACGAGATGTGTCCCCAGGACTCAGGTACTGGGGCCGCTTCTGTTCAACATTTTTGTTAATGATCTTGATGAGGGGATTGAGTGCACCCTCAGTAAGTTTGCATACAATGCCAAGTTGGGAGGCAGTGTTGATCTGCCAGAAGGTAGAGAGGCACTACAGAGGAACTGGATAGGCTGAATTGATGGAGCAAGGTTAACTGTATGAGTTGCAATAGGGCCAAATGTCAGGTCTTGCATTTTGGTCACAACAACCCCAGGCAACCCTACAGGCTTGGGGAGGAATGGCTGGAAAACAGCCTGATGGAAAGGGATCTTGGTGTACTGACGCACAGCTGGCTGAATATGAGCCAGCAATGTGCCCAGATGGCCAAGATGTCCAATGGCATCCTGGCTTGTATCAGGAATGGTGTGGTGAGCAGGACTAGGGAAGTCATCCTGCTCATGTACTCAGCACTGGTGAGGCCCAACCTCGAGTGCTGTGTTCAGTTTTGGGCACCTCAGTACAGAAAGGACACTGAGGTGCTGGAGCAGATCCAAAGAAGGGCAACAAGTCTTGAGGGGCTTGGAGAATATGCCCTATGAGGAGAGACAGAAGGAACTGGGGCTGTTCAGTCTGGAGAAAGGGAGATGGAGGGGAGAACTCATTACTCCCTTCCAATATCTGAAAGGTGCTTACATCAAGAGTGGGGTTGGTCTCTTCTCACTGGTAACAGGTGACAGAATGAGGGGAAATGGCCTCAAGTTGCGCCAGGGTAAGTTTAGGTTGGATATCAGGAAAAACTTCTTTACAGAAAGGGTTGTTAAGCACTGGAATAGGCTCTCTAGGGAGGTGGTTGAGTCACCATCCCTGGATGTGTTTGAAAGCTGTTTGGATATGGTGCTCAGGGACATGATTTAGCAGAGGGTTGTTAGAGTTGGGGTAGTATGGTTAGGTTGTGGTTGGACTCGATGATCTTTAAGTTCTTTTCCACCCTAAGCAATTATATGATTCTATGATTCCTTACCCCTACAACTGGACCTATAGGGAGCATCTCCTAAGCCTCTGCATTTAAAGCATTTAAATGCCAATGAGAGGGCTCCATCTGTCTCTAAAAGTACAGGGAGTAGGAGAAGGAGATGGAGTTGTAGGGAATGAAGAAGAAAAACTGATAAAACTAAAGACATTCTTAACCACTAGTGACTACCTGTATATTAATAGATAAAAAAAAGGAGCTATAAATTAATTATTGCATACAGTATTTAATTGTTAGCACGTTGCCTGGAAGAAGTTTGGCCCGTGCCAACTGGTACTTCTCTAGACTGTTCCTACTTTGGGGCATTGGTCCTATTTTGAACAGGACCTAAAAATGACCTTCAGAAGGTAGCATTTCTCTGGATGTTTTGGGGGATAGCTAATGCGAAAAGCCTATTCCATAGGCAGTTTGGATGCAGCTACCCCATTCCTGAGCAACTGGCTGCTCCCTCAATGCATCTTGGAATATTCAATCTGTTTGTATAGATGTAGCCATTCAGAAAACAAAACACAAATGTTGTGAAATGCAAAAAAAAAAAAAAAAAAAGCTGTTTAGTTCTTGACAACAGGCAAGCACTACTCAATTAGTATAAAGAAGCTCTTGAACATGAGGGGCAGTTCATCCAAAGTGTAGGTGCAGAACTCCTCTGTACCTGGATGTGCTTTTCGCTCTTCCAGGGGTGGTATTCAGATCTCCAAAAGTTGCCCAAAACCAAAAATAGCATAGTTGGGAAATTGAGCTTTGAACATAGCATGATGTAGAATATAACCAATATAACAGTTGGCTGTGAAAGAGAAAACTGAACATGATGTAAAGTGGAAGATGAGCCTCGCTGCAGGAAGAAGCTATTTTGAAATGCTTGACCTTATTGTAATTACCATGATTAGACAGCTATTAAAACGTTGTCACTAAGTATGGTTGTAGCATCAGTAGATTCAGAAAGTAATATTACATCATGTCTATGGCTGATAGTAATTAAAAAATTAGATAACACTTGAGAAGGCAAGAAAGGCAGATGGGAAGGAAAAAAACGAGAAAGGCAACATAGTATCTGTGATCTTATTTTTACAGTATGATCACAGTGCCTTACATGTAAGTAAAACTCAAATTTCCTGCCTCAAGCTGTTACAAATTAAAGGAATTCCTTAAAGAGAGTTCTAGGAAAAATAAAATCTGGGGAAGTTAAAACACCTACCCTCAGTGCATCAGCTCCAGTAGCACATTTAGTTGACCAAGGATAAATGGTTAATGTAATCTTTTTTGATTTCAGCAAAGCTTTCAGTACTATTTCTTGATAAAATGTCCAGTGTAAAGCTAGACAAGAACAGGCTGGCAGCCAGTCGTAAGTAGGGTCCTCAAGGGTCCAATTTTAGGGCCAATTGTCCACAGTGTTTTTATAAATGACCGGGATCCAGGAGTTGAATTCACACTAAGTTTGCAGATTGCACTAGACTGGGAGGAGCTTTTGACTCCCTTGAGGGCAGAGCGGCCTTACAGAGAGAACTCAACAATTTAGAGGTCTGAGCAATTCAGCGACTGCACAAAGTTTAATAAGAGCAAGTGCCAGATTCTGCACCTGGGGTGGTGCAATTCTGGCTACATGTACAGTATGGGGAATGAAAGGCTGGAGAATAGCCCCATGGAAAGGGATCTGGGAGTTCTCGTGGACAGCAAGTTCAATCTCAGTCAGTAGTGCCTGAGCAACCCAAAGGGCCAACCATGCCCTGGGATGCTCCAGGCCCAGCATGGCTGCCAGGTGAGGGGAGGGGTTGTCCCCCTCCGCTCTGATGCTATGCAGAGCTGAGCCCTGCTCTTTGGTGACAGCAACAGGACCAAGGGAACTGCATGGAGCTGCTCCAGGGGAGGATCAAGTGGGTGTTAGGAAAAAGTTCTGTGTACGTCAGCATATGTCATTAGGATCTCTGTCACCTGATCGTGAGCATCTGTACAAAAGAACAGTTTTGGCTGAAATCCCTCTCACTGCTGAGTCTGTGCCTCTTGGACGGAAACCAGGTTACTTCTAGAAATGTCACAGGTATGCTCCAACACGTGACTCACCCAAATGGCACATATACACTGTCTGGGTGGGTGACTTCAGTCAAACTGTGGAATCCCTTGGGGCTATCTACGGAGGAACTCAGAGCAGCCCTACTGGCAGCTTGCTGTGCCTCACACCGAGCATAAAAATAACTTAGGATGGCTGACCGTGTCCAAACTCCTGATGTAATTTCACTTTCCACGTTGCTCAGAGAGTCCAAAGGCAACAGAGTTATCATTTACCAATTAAAAGAAAACACTTGAACCAAATCAAAAACAAAACAAACAAACAAACAAACAACAACAAAAAACCCTTCTCCCTTGATCTGCCTCTGCTGTAGCAGTGCCCAGATCTCTCCGAGTCACCTCTCAGGCTGGTAGCTGAACATAGGTCAGACCTTGAGGGTGTTCACGTCCCAAGCCTGGTCTTTCACCACAAGCAGGCCTGAGTTTAGGTCTCAGCTGTTCTACACCCAATGCTCTGTATGAGGGAAGTTGTGGCTTGCTTTTTACTTTCTATCAATTTTTGGTGGAATCACATGGCCGGCTGTGGGATTGAGCTTTTCAGGGGCAAAACCATCAGCCAGCTCAGTCACTTGAATAGGCACCAAACTAAAACCTGGGCATGAGTTTGGAGCAGTGCTGAGGAAACCCCCAGTGTGGTTTCCCTGGGACTCACTGGGATGACACAACTGCTCTTCACACCAGCACAGAGAGAATCATGTAGCAGCACTCCATGACATGCATTTTGTAATCTGTTGTCTTTATTAGACACTGTGTAATTACAGGTAAGGGCAGGTGCTGTGACATCACTGCTACCTTTTTTTCTGTTTTTCCAACAGGCACCTATTAAACGTTACTAACTTTTCAGTGGTGCTGATGAGTCTGTTGAGTGAAAAAAAAAAATCTCGTAAACAAGGTCTTTTCCAACTTAAATCGGAAATATGTATATATCTATACATATATACACAACAGATCCTCCTGGTTTTCTGCTATGGCAAATCTGGGAGGATGGCCTGCTGTTCCTAGAGACCTTTCTGATTCCAACCCGAGCAGCCTAACGCCCCTTGCAGATGCCTTCCTGCCAGCCCCTCCCTCAGGAGCCCCCTTCCTTCCGCCGCGGTGGGCACGGCCGTTACCCCCTCTGCGCGCAGTGGTATGGCCGCGCCCTCTTGCAGCTGCAAGGCGGTTCGTACCATTGGGTTAGCACGCAGAGGGGAGAGGGTGTGTCGTGCGCATGCGCGCTGGGTGCACGGTGCCGGCGGAGCGGTGGGTGGCTGTTGCGAGAGTCGCGGCGGGCCAGGCCGGGCTGGGCACTCCCGGGAGGCCTGTGGGGGCGGCTCGCCGCCCGAGCAGCCCCGGAGCCGGGGAGGGCCGGGCCGCCATCGCAGGCAGCGCTGCCAGCAAGGAACGGCGGGGCTGAGCCAGGTCTGTGCGCCGGGGCTGCGTTCGGGGCTCGGCGGGGCTCGGCGGGGAGCGGGTGGCTGTCAGTACTTGCGTTCGCTTGAGGCCGGGGCTCTCGGGGCCTGCCGTGCCCTGCCAGTGCTCTGCCAGTGCCCTCGGCTTGGTGCCCTTCGTCGCGTAGAGGGAGGAGCTTTGGCTCCACTTTCGGGTCCGTTGTGTCAGGTGTAGGACTGCCAGGTGTTGTCGGCAGCCCTGCTCTGTGGGCTGGGGGGCACTGAGGAGCGAGGGCCAGGGCGCGGGGCGCGGGACGGAATGGCTGAGGTGGGAAGGGAGCTTTGCGCACTGCCTGGTCCCACTGCTCTGCTCATCAGGGTTACGCAGAGCGTGTTGCTGAGGGTTATGTCCGCGCAGCTTTTGAAGATCTCTAAGAAAGGATGCTTCGCAACCTCTCTGGGTAGCCTGTGCCAGTGCTTAGTCACCATCACAGTAAATAAGTTTTTCTTCATGTTCAAGTGGAACAGGTCCCTACGGTGCCAAAGGCTTGGGTCTGTTGTGTCGTGGTGGAGGTCGTTGCATGGTGGAGGCAAACAGGAACATCTCACTGGGGTTTCTGTATTCCCTTGCTACAGTGGCTTTCTTATCCAGCTCCTGTCTGTGGCCTTTTACAGACAGTGTTGAGTTTGGTGGCCAGCCTGATACACCCTAATTAATGCATAAAATGACCTGGTACTCAAATATTTAAACATTACCCAGCTCTTTCCACCCCACGAAGTCATGATCTTTAACTGCTGCGTGTTCAGGAAGTTTCAGCTAACTTGAGGCACTGACTGCCAGACTGTTCGGTTAATTATGCTGATGTTGTTAATCATACATATTAATGCTGCTTGTCTGCATTCCGTACTCCTGTTGCATTTTTGGAATTGGTTTTCTGTTGGAAAGTCTTGTAATGTTTGGAAACTGATTGTTAAGTCTTGTTTTGAGATATGATCCTGAAAGCTTATTTTTGTGTTAGTGGTCCCATGTACTAGGATAAGTTTTTCTCTTTTCATGTCCCAAGTGTGTATGTGAGGTTTTGACTTGCACCCAAAGACATAAGCAGTGGTGGAAAATCAGTGAGGGAAAAGCAGAAGAGTAAAAGAATAATGGTTAGTGACAGCACACTGCTGTTCAAATATGAATTTTGTGAGTAAGAAAACAGGATTTTCTTCTTGTGTTTTCCCTTCCTCTTTCTTGCCTTCCTTCTTTGCTCTCTTCCACTTTTGCTTTAGTACATTACTAAAACAAAGTTTACTATAGTACTAGTAAAGAATTTGCGGGCCAATTGCAAGTCTTAAACGCATTGCTTAAATTGAGGGGTTTTTTTGTTCATCTACACCTGTCTTTGGGATGATTGTGCTCAATGACAACAGAGCTGATGTTGTAACTGCAATGAAAGTGAGTTGTGTATAGTTTAGGAGGTGTGTACAGATGACTTTTTTAAAAAGACTCACTTTATTTTTTTCTTTTTGTTCCAGATGGAAAAAAAAGAGTTCATGGTTGCTAGTCCACATAATAGTGGAGGCTGAGTGGGCATGAAGGAGAGTATATAGTGTGAGTGACAAGTCTCAAATCCCCTGCAAGGCTTTTTTCTATTAAAGGGAAAAAAAATAAATAAAGAGGAGGAAGACATGAATCCTACAAATAAAGATCAAGCATTTGGGACCATTTTTGACTGGGACTATCTCTTATGGGAAGTTCGTTTGACATTTTTAGCTGCTGGTTTTTTAATCTACCTGGGAGTATTTCTTCTGTCTCACTGGTTATCCTCCCGGATGAGTACCACTTATCGTGCCTTGTATGCAAAGGAGAAGGTGTTTTGGAATATGGCAGTCACACGTGGTGCGTTTGGACTTCAGAGCTGTGTTGCTGGGTTATGGGCTTTGCTCATAGATCCCGTTTTTCATGCTGACAAGGTGCATTCACAGCAAAAGTGGAGCTGGTTTAATTGTTTAATAGCTGCTGGATTTTTCTTGCTTGAAAATGTAGCTGTTCATATGTCCAACATCGTTTTTAAAACATTTGATGTGTTCCTCGTGGTTCATCACTTACTTGCTTTTGGTGGCTTAGCTGGTTTAGTAATCAATGTAAAATCTGGACATTACCTACCTTTGATGGGAATGTTGCTGGAGATGAGCACTCCTTCAACCTGCATTTCCTGGATGCTTCTAAAGGTAAGAATTTGAGACTTCACAAACTATGTTTCTAACAGTTTTCATGCATCTCACTTCTCTGTGAATAGTGTGCACAGTTTACCTGGATAGTTTGAAGCAAGGCTGAGCTTGTCTAACTGACATCTATGTTACTGTGTTACCCACTTGTACAGAAACATGACCCTGACAGTTCTGCAGGTAGGCTTCTGTGTGGTGCTGTGTGCATATGGCTTGAGACAGCTTATGTCTAGCCTGAGTTTAGAATGATGTGTGCATGTGCTATCTCATAGCTCTACGTGAAAAAATGCCTGAGGGGATGTGTATGCAAAGACTGGGGAATTTGCTTTAGTTCTGGGGATTCTTTACTTTCTTGTCTTGAATTAACAATCACACTTCTGCGTATTTCTGTTCTTGTTTTTCTAGGCTGGCTGTGCAAATACCTTTTTCTGGAAGGCAAATCAGTGGGTAATGATCCACCTGTTTCACTGCCGCATGATTCTCACTTACCACATGTGGTGGGTGTGTATTTTCAACTGGAATTCTGTGGTAGAAAACCTGGGACTTCTCCATTTTATTGTTTTATTCTCTGGATTATTTGCTGTTACATTAATACTTAACCCATACTGGACATACAAAAAAACTCAGCAGCTCCTCAGCCCAACTGACTGGAACTTCGAAAATAAAGCGACAGAAAATGGAAAGTTAAATGGTGAAACATCCCAAAAGAAGAGGATGTGACACCAGAACATCTGTTTCCTAGTGTGATATTGGACTACAGCAGAAGAATACACTGCAAACTAAGTGGCCCATGAAATCAAAGCTTCTGCAAGAAGCTCATTGATACAGACATTCCTTGCTGTTAGTATTCAGAATGCATCAGTGGTATTTAAAAATGTTGTCTGTATTTCATACGTACATATTCATAAATCTTCATCTTAGCAAAGAGTTATGCCAATGGTTTTGTCTGTACTTCGATAGTATTTCATGGTTTAGCAATGACATGCTCTAATGATATCCTTCATCCTAATGCTTCAAAGTGGCTTTATTGCTAACTTGTCCACTAATCTTAGCTTGAATTGAATTTAGCTTTATTCTCATTTCACGTATGTTGGAAATACTGCTACTGAAAATAACGTTGAGAAGATTAAGATCAATTCTGACCTCAAATAGGTGTGATGTGGATACCTGTGTGCTATTAAATATTTCCCACTGGATGAATTAGTCAAGTGGCAGAATGTAGTCATGGCTCAGTTTGTGGGTCTTTCCTTAAGTGCACTTGATGAAAAGGGAGAGACAGTTAAGTGTTTGCTAGCAAAAGAAATTGTAGTACCCAGGTTGCCTTCAGTATGAGACTTCATATCCACAGCAAACATGCACGTGGTGAGGAGTGAGAGCACCTGCTCATTGTGCTGCTGGTCATGCTAGGTAATCATAGTGGTCCTTTCTGGACTTGAAATCTATGAAAGACAAGAGTCAATGATAAGTTTGTTGGGTGATTGGTAAGATTATCTTCTTTGTAGGTCACAAATGAATAAATGTGCAATTAGTTCCATTCGTGCTCCTGTTATACTTCCTCTTATTTTTTGAAAACCTCTTAGTTACAGAGGGTTTTAGAATATGAGGTGACTCATAGAATCATAAAATGGCCTGGGTTGAAAAGGACCACAGTGATCATCCAGTTTCAACCCCCGTGCTATGTGCAGGGTCACCAACACCAGACCAGGCTGCCCAGAGCCACATCCAGCCTGGCCTTGAATGCCTCTAGGGATGGGGCACTCATCATTGGAGAAAAGCTTATTGTCACCTCTTTTAGAAGTTCTGTTATTCCTGTAGTGTTTTTATTTCTGCTTTGAAGAACACAGAAGGTGAGGTTATCAATTCTTTGCACTTTATCTACCATATTTTTAAGTTTTTAATTGACCTCGGGAACAGAGAGTGTGTTTGGATAGTGGTTTGGCAAGTTGTGGAGGTTGTTCTCCCACTTGTACTTGTTCTTGGATGCAGTTTGGGACAGCAGATCAGTGTATAAAGATCATGATAGAAGAGAGTGACACCTATTGGCAGGAGGGTGACAAAGATACCTAATTAATGTTGATGTACTATTGAGATAAAAAACATGTCATTTGAAAGTTGATCGTATGCTGTGATATGACACAGTTTTATTTACCAAAGTAATAAGACCAGGCGAGCTAAAGCTGTGAAGAGCTTTAGGTTGAGGCATTTGTACCAGGCTTTGTGTCCTGCCCTGTGTGGGAGCATAGTGTTTAAAATGGCAGAGGAGTGGGGAGAGGAGATTACTGTCTTGGTGCAAACAAGCCCATTCCATTACACCTGGTGGGAATGTCTTTTATTTTGTTTGGATGAGGCTGAGGAGGTTACTGTGTTCCCTAATTCCCTAATAAGATCTTGTGCATCTCTTCCTATGTATATAATGTACAATACCTAAAAGCACCTGTTAACCTCAATGCTGCTGGACCTGCTAAAACAGGAGATCTATGCAATATTAGAAATAATAGTATTCACTTTATATTCCTTTTGGCTTCAAGGGCGAGAGGGTTTTACAGTCCATATAGAAATAGTACAGAGCATCAAAATAGACAACACTTCTTCAGTGCTATTACACAGAGCCTCTATTTTGTTCACTGCAGGTTCTAGTGTCTAATTACTCTTACAGTTCTATGTTTCCCCCAGATAAAGACTAGCTACAGTTGGCTTAGAGATTTTGTTAATTTGAAACAAATCCCAGACCTTTTGAGCCTCTTTTGTAAGGCCTCATCTGCAGTTTAATAAAGAAATTTGCTATCAGCATCAGTAAGGATAGGTCACAGGTTGTGCTTCTGCCGTGATTTGGAAAACTTTTGCATGATGTTTTAGTATGATTTTGCTAGCCTAGGTGACTGTGCAATGCTTTGTCTTGCTTTCTTCTTGGGGTGGGTGTATTTATTTGAGGAGTGCAGTTTGTGTCTCCTTTTTTTTTTTTTTTTTTTTTTTTAGATAATTGGTTTGGGGTATGGTTTTTGTGAGTGCATGTGTGTTTCTGCTGTTCTTTTAAAAAAAACAACAAAATGTCTGATCTGAGGGTTGGACCCTATCTAAGCATCTAGTTCTGTGTTCATACATTCCTAAGTCAGAGTTTGTTTTCCTCTGTTTGTGTCATGTTTTTTTCAAAACCTGCCTAAGGTGTTTATTCCTGTCTGCAATACTGGTCATGATCCAGCAGCAGTCACAATACTCCAGCAGTGACTTTGGCTAATAGTTTTCAGCACTTACTGCTGAGTTTTCTTTTGTTAAATGCCTGTGTCCAGATTTTTTTTTCCCTGATAGCACTGATCAGCTATTGATGTTGTACAGTTATAAAAGATGCTTTTAATAACCTCAGGGAAATTGCACTTAAAGTGAATTTAGAAGTATTAATGAATTAATAAATTCAACTCTGTTCCTCATACAATGTAGTATTTGTTGAATGCATCTTTATGCTGAGTGCATGAATAAAAAGTATTTTGTTGAGCAGTTGTATACCCTGAATTTCATTTGCTGGTTAAAGTAATGCCTCTATTTGTTGTTGTTGTTTTTACTTGCTGCTTGTAGCTGATTGTTTTTGTAGTGAATGTTTTAAACGATGACTTATTTTGAAATAATCTCCCTGACTGAGCAGGAGTGGTGTTGTGTCTGTGGAAGTAGCTCTAAAACCTTGTGTGCTACCATTTAACATTGGCAAGTTCAGTTATGTGGTTAAGCAGAAGAAGCTGCACCATGTATGTGAGTATGTACTAAAAAGTATCACTTGAAATGACACATCTGGTTTGTGTATTTGAAGCGTGATCTCTCTTTGCATTAGGCTGTAACTATGAAGACACTTGACTTGGTGTCAAGAGATGCTTCATGGTTTAGTATGAGCCACCGTCTTTTTTTTTTTTTTCCTTTTACAGAATCACAGAATCACAGAATCACCCGGGTTGGAAGGGACCTCAAGGATCATGTAGTTCCAACCCCCCTGCCTAGCAGGGCCACCAAACACACACATTCAGATCAGGTTGCCCAGGACCCCGTCCAATCTGGCCTTAAACACATCCAAGGACGGGGCATCCACAACCTCCCTGGGCAGCCCGTTCCAGGGCCTAACCACTCTCCTTGTATAGAACTTCCCCCTAACATCCAACCTAAATCTTCCCTCCTTCAACTTCGATCCATTTCCCCTAGTCCTGCTGTTGTCAGCCCTTTTGAAGAGTTTACTCCCCTCGTGGGTGTAGGTTCCCTTCAGGTATTGATAGGCTGCAATGAGGTCACCCCGCAGCCTTCTCTTCTCCAGGCTGAACAAGCCCAACTCCCTCAGCCTGTCCTCATAGGGGAGGTGCTCCAGCCCCCTGATCATCTTAGTCGCCCTCCTCTGGACCCTTTCCAAAATCTCAATGTCTTTCTTGTACTGAGGGCTCCACACCTGGACACAGTACTCCAGATGGGGCCTCACAAGAGCCGAGTAGAGAGGGACGATCACCTCCCTGTCCCTGCTGACCACCCCTCTCCTGATGGAGCCCAGGATCCCATTTGCCTTTCGAGCTGCCAGAGCGCACTGCTGGCTCATGTTCAGTCTCTCGTCCATCAGGACCCCCAGGTCCTTCTCTGCCGAGCTGCTCTCAAGGACCACTCCTCCCAGCCTGTACGGGTGCCTGGGGTTCTTCCGGCCCAAATGCAAAACCTTGCACTTTGCCGTGTTGAACCTCATTAGGTTCACCCGAGCCCAGCCCTCCAGCCTGTCGAGGTCCCTCTGAATGGCATCCCTTCCTTCCACCGTATCAACCGCACCACTCAGCTTTCTTTTCAAGAAACTGTTCAGTTTTCAGTTTCAGTTTTCAGTTTCTTTTCAAGAAACTGTTCAGTTGCTAAACAGCAAAATAACAATTACAAGCATTGAATGTGCCCATCTTCAGTAGTGCTCTGCTGAACTTATTTCCTGATCCTTTTAGCATTAGTGAGTTAAAGGAAAACAGCATAACTGCTGGTATTTCAACTATTCTGAAAAGAATGCACTGTGCAAGCAACCAGCTGGCGTGGTTTCGGTAGCTGCCTCTAGAGTCAAGTCCGTAAGATTAATTGAAGCAGAAGAAGAGATGTTCAAGTATAAAGCTCCACTGGCTGTGGAATGTGTGTGGGTACAGACTGGGAGCAGAACAATACATAACAGTACTTGTGTGAATAAAGTCCTTTTTGTAAATAATCTGTAAAAGAAACTTTGCTGATGTTTTGCTATTCAGATGTTTTCAATTAATAGATAAATGTATTTTACTTTGTAGTTCTTGCCATAAACCCAGAAATAAATTAGCATGCACTTACTTTGACAGTGTTACTCAGCAATTACGATCTTTTGATCCCGTGTCATGGCACTGGTTGATAAGTGAAAGTCTCTAATTAAGCAAATTATGACTGTTGCTCTAGTTAGCAGCCCCCAGATGGATTTCCAATGTTGGAAGAGACATTTCAGACTCCTATGGACTAATTAGTGTGTTCTGCTAGTGGTAGTGTCACAGAAACAAGTGTTCTCACAGTATGTTGTGCCTTCCTGTTCTCCCTAAGCAAAACAGTACTGAGTGAGGAGGAATGACAAAGGTAATGACACAGCGAGCATAGCAACATTCGAGGTGGCAGAGACAAACCAATATGAAAGGAATGGGGTCTGCTCACAGGTGCACAAAGAAGCAAGCAAACAAATGGACAGTGCAGTCATCTGCTGCTGGTAGTGTGTGTGTTATGGTGAGTTCTGAGTCCTTTACAGGTATGACTTGAGCAGAGGGAGCTGATGCTGGATTCATCTGATACTGTACACATTACTTCTGAGCTGAAATGCTTGTTTCTTAATGTGATTTTCTTTTTAGCTTCCTCTGCTGCTTTGGATATTTAGTTCATGTTAAACTGACACTGCTTTCACCAGAAAAGTGACATTTACAGATTTACGAGTATGCGCATGATTTTAACACTGGTAATTGATTGTAGCTGCTCCAGGTGCTCATCAGGGCCTGTTTTCTTGTTGTTGTTGTTGTTTTTAATATTCTTGATGCGGACCCACAAAAGTCTGCCAGAAACACTTTGCTTTGTGTACGCTTTGTCACCAAAACTGTGTTTGCTAAAGTTGAAGTATGGGTCTTGTATTAAATCAGGGGGAAAAATGCTAGATAAAGCCCTAGTGATTATGTGTTTATTCTTGTTTGTGTATAAGAGGGTTGACTTTCCTGCATTTCTGGACTGTGCAGTTCTGTTGGCAGAATCTTTTAAGAGTAAATCAAGGTGACAACTGCAGTGTCTTGAAGAGTGAAGCCACGCAGGCAGTCTGTATAAGTATGGTAAAGTGGCTTGTGTAGAGTAGGCAAGGAGCATCTGATGAGCTTGGTCAGCTTGTGTAAAGGTTGCATTTACAAGGTGAAAGAATATCCTTTGAAAGCAGCAGCTTTGCCTAGGAGTCATAAGAAATGTGAAAAAAATAAAGATGTGTTAGGATGAGATTGCTGCTGCGCACTGAATGGGAAATTGTCCGATGTTTTAACTCTTCTTTTTGCCTCA